CAAACACCCCCGCCCCCCAGCATGGCGTGGAAATCCAGGAGCCCCAGCAGGGCGCGGGTTGATATTCGCCCTGATGGAAAGGGCCGGGTGGGATCTGCTGGCTACACTCCAGGTTTTTGCGTGAGTCAAGAAAACAACGACATGCAGCGCCGCGAAACTTAGCACAGCTAATTATATATTTTGCATCGGGCATAAGATTTTGACCCTAGGTCACCCAAGGGCAGGTCACCAGATCAAGTATAAGTAATCACGCCTCTAAGAAATTTGTGATTCTGTCATTCCTACCGAAACGTCCACCTCTTGACTCAACCGTCAACGTGCTACGATAGGGCCACCACCCTATTTGTCACATGTTGCCGATCGCGTCCCAGATGCGATTTTACAGGGGTGAAATCAGTTGCAGAAAGGGGGGGGGGCAAATCCCATTTTGGCCCCCCCTAAACCTGATTTTGGCCCGGTTGCCTCCCCCCCCTTGGATCCGCCAGTGGTACCTATATGCTAAGGTGTACAAAAACGGCGGCGCTCCGCGCCTATTCGCGAAAAAAAAACACAGGAGGAGGGGGTGTTTAGAGTGACCATCCCACCTTAACATTAGTTTTGAGTTGAGATAGCCAAATTGGTGGCCATGGCCTGAAAATACCGGTTTGGGCACTCACAACATCGAAAAATGCTTTAATTCGGAGATACGGAATTTCAAAATTGCAGTTTTCGGATTCTAAGGGGTTAATGCATTGGTATGCCCCCTTAGAATTTGTGACGTCAGCGGAGGTCTAACGATTTTGAAATCTTTTACTAAAACGTTTGGTAGCACGCGGTGGTATATGCTGCTTTGCGCGCAACAAATGCCGCACTTTCAAATAAAGTCGCTAGGAACAGCGGATATCCCAAAAAGTAAACAATAGTAAAAGTCTAATACCTATCTTGAAAACCGGTGAATATTTTTCGATGAAATTTGGTAGATATTCGTTTTCGCTCTTCCTGAACCGAGCGACATCACTTTCATGCCAATTCATTAACTTTTTTGAAGGTGGGAGGGCCCCTTTAAACACCCCCGCCCCCCCCCCCCCCCCCCCCCCAGCAGGGCGTGGGCTAACAAATTCGTCAGATTCGGGCTGATTAGTTTTTTAGGGATTATGTTATGTTTGATACTTTTGGTAAACCGTAGGAAAATTCTAAAAGAACGTCAATAGCTGCAGCACGATGTTAGTGGCCGTGGAGAGGTATCGTGTCCCTGGTAGCTAATGCAGCTGAAATGTGTCGACACCCGGCGTCCGCACCATTCGGTGGTTCTGGCACGTCAGTGCTGTCTCACATTCATTAACCATGAGCATCTGTCTCATACGGGATTCGGGAACGAGGGGGGGGGGGGGATTAGCTCGCGCAGCATCTCTCACACATGGCCGGCCATTTCTCTCTGGACTCCGGAGCACTTTTCCTATGGGTGGATTCACTCGTGAATAGCATGATGTGAAAAATGAAGCGGGAGTCCCAGGGACTTGTAAACTCCTGCAGAGATCAGTTAGAGGTGTCGCACTCCCATCTCTGCAGGCACGTGCCCGAATACAGGGCCCAGGGGACCATTTCTTGCGCCGAGCCATGAGTCGCCCAGTAAACATGCCGACGTCGGCCCGACGTCGATCCAACCTCGGCACGACGTCGGCTGGATGTCGGATATGCCCGCATGTACCGACGTCCAGCCGAGGTCCAGCCGACGTCGGGGCGACGTCGGACCGACATCGGCCGCTGTTTTGACCGTTAAAATAATATAAAATACATGTTTCATGTTTCATAAAGAGCTTCTGTATTCAAAATATCCTCAGGAAACTCAAATCTTCCTCCACGCCGCAACCCCCTGATCCGGACTGGACGGGAAACTTTATCCCATTTGGGATTGCCCGTAAGCTGAGCTCGCCCGTAGCCGGGTGCGGTGAGTGCTTGGGGGCTGCTCGGCCTATCCTTTGGTCAGGCTCAGCCCCGGCAACTCACCAGGGCCGGGCCCAGTTCATATAGAAAGGCCAGTCGACAAGTGTCACTTTGCCAAAGTGCCACTTATCAAAGGGACACTTTGGGAAACGTTGGTGCAGGTGTGTAAGAGTGGCTATATGAATCCATTGTGGGGTCGCTCTTTCCAATGAGTGTCACGTAACAGCAGTGGGACTCTATATGAACTGGACCGAGGGTGCTCGCCAAGAAGACCAATGTCTCCATCCTATCATCCTTCCGGCTCTGAAATGGTCTTGTCAGACCGAAAGGGCATAACCCAACAAAACAAACTAAATTCGATATCTGGCTGCGTGGTGTAGTGGTTAGCATGGGTGGAGAACCTGCCCCGGCCACCCCGGCCGTGGCCGGGGTAACTTTCAGCCGACCCCGGCGCGGCCGGGGTAACTTTTTCCACTTTTGTAAATCCTAAAAGCTGTCTCCATACGAAAAAAACTGCCATCTATAAAAGCGTCGCTCATTATTCTCATCTACCTTGAAAAGTTCTTGAAAATTTACTTTATTTTCATTTTGGAGCTTCTATATTTTTAAGTCTTTTCATCGCGGAGCCCGACGTGTTTCATCAAACAGAAAAAACATCATATTTAACGGCAGTTATCGTAAGATGGCACTGTAATAACATCACAAGACAGGACGAGGGTAATATCAGTGAGATAGAAGAACGAGCTGCTGGGGCTCGGGGCTCCCCCAACTTAACCCGCGCCAGGGCGGTGGCCTTATCGTAACACGTTGAGTCGAGAGGTGGGCTTTTCACGCTCCTTCTAACTCGGCTACTGGGCTACGAGGCGAGAAGCGGAACGACGTTTGAAAGAGCGACAAACGTGATCAGAAAAATCTGGTCATGTTTTAGGCAAGCTCAATAATAAAATCACCATAGATCATCAAAAGCCAAAGTTCTCTGATTTTAGCGTTCTCCGACAACTTTTCTCACAGTTCATGAACATAACGGAGCTTAAACACTGCAAACAAAACATTCGATTACTCGTTTAACCCTCGCCGGACCTATTGGTTTTCTACATACGCGCCGGCCGAGGGGGGGGGGGGGTACGACCCCCCCCCTCGCCGTTTCGCCCCTGGTGGAGCTAGCGCGTCGCGGAAAAAACGAGCGTGTGCGCCATTACGAGACGCAGAGATTGGTACCCGATTTTAAGGTCCTAGGTCAACCGGTGACCTCTGAGGTCAGGTCAAGTGCCCCAAGGTACGGTTCAGTTTTTGGTGAATAACTTCGCAAAAAACGGCCGCAGAGCCGCGATTTTGGCAGCATTGTGTTTGCCTCGCTCAGGCGCGTCGAATGATATACTTTTTGTTCGGGTCAGGTCAACTTGGGGTGTTGACCTCAGGTCAAGGTCAGGTCAGCACCCCCAGGTCACGAACTTGGTTGAAAGAGGCCATGTTGCATAACATTCGATTCGGCAGGTCTTCCTGAGTCCATTGGTGGCTTTCCCGACTCGCTAGCTCAATTTGATCAAGAGTTATTGACGAAAAACCAATATGACCTTGATGACGTCATAAATGACGTCACGCAAGGTCAACATTGCAAAAGTGACGCATCTAACCTTGCAAGGAGTGCATCAAATCACGATTCTGTGTGCTTGAGATAGTTGGAGATCGTTCCCGGCGCCAGAATAGCAGTTCTCATTTTTCCCCATTGACTTATAATGGTGAGGTCACGAAAATGACCTGACCTCATATGACCTTTAGGAAAAATCCGAGATATACAAGTTGTGGGACTCATAATGGATACTAGATCCTGCAAGTTTCATTTCCCTGTGACATCTACTCTGGCAGTGAGGGCGTTGCGAAGTTGTGACATCTGAAGACCGTGCAGAGGTTCACTTATGACGTCATAGGTCAGTGACCTGACCTGACCCAAAAATGCGGTTGGTGTCAAAAGATGCGGCTTGAATCAAAGGTCAGGTATGCCAAGTTTTAGCTCTCTATCGCCAGCGTGTTTGGAGCTATCGCGAAAAAACCTATGGGGGGGCGGCACCCGCCCCCCCCTCTCGGCCGGCGAGGGTTAAGGCTCGGTCGCGAATAATATTTTAGGTGCGAGCTCAAATCAATAAGAGGGTCAAAACGGTCAAATTTGACATTTTGTTTTATGTGGGAAGGTTGCAACTTCCACGGAATAAGCTTTGCAAAGGGCATGATGGCATTTTTAGCACGATCATCCAGCAAATTTGACCCTGACCTAGCACTAGGTGGCATGCGTCCGAAATTCTAAGGCGCGTTGCAAAATTGTTGTTACAATTACGAAATCTTCCGCACCTGTGTGCAGCAGTTTTCCTAAAAGCGTACAAACGGCAGACATCCATTATTCTATGCCACAGAATAGGGGTTTGTTGATAACCGTTGACAGATATTTGAGCATCATCGTCTTTCTGACTTTCGGTCGCCGGCCGGGGTAACTTTTTCAAACATTCTCCACCCGTGGTGGTTAGCGCACTACCCTCCCGTTCAAATGACACGGGGTTCGAATCCCATCGCCGGCTGATGCTTTTGGCGTGTTGTCCCAGTAAACATGCCGACGTCGGCGACTGGGGGGCTCGAATCCCGCCGCCGGTTGATATTTTTGGCGTGTTGTCCCAATAAACATGCCGACGTCGGCCCCGTCGGTCCAACGACAAACGATCTCGTCAACCTCGGCAAACGACCTCGGCCCGACGTCGGCTCGACGTCGAAACATGCGGGCATACCCGACGTCCAGCCGATGTCGGGCCGAGGTTGAACCGACGTTGGGCCGACGTCGGCATGTTTACTGGGCGGGCATTGCCCGAAAAAACTCACGTTTTGCAAAATACGCTGTGTTGCAAACAGAAAAGATATGTTCTCAAAATATGTCAATAGAAATATTTTGAAGAATCTTGAATAAAAACATAGGCTTCTCTAAGGCTGTACATAGAAACCTACTCATATAGGTAATCGTCGTGCTGGGGGGGGGGGTGGGCAATGAAGTTTTCTCGTAATTCGAAGCATAATATCAGTGTTTGTGAACATCCGTGAACATCCCATATAATTATAGGTAATGATAGGTACCACAATATTTTATTTAGTCACCGATCCGACCCTTTCCATCCTCACACAGTCAAATCCTTACGCCGGGTGCCACGTCAATGAGTGAAATATTTTTGACTTATTTATATGTCTGTAGTTTAGGCGATGCCGGTGAAATAATTTGAGCTACCTTGACAAGCTTGCCGTTTGTGAATTGTGATTATGGCGCGGTTGTTTGTGTTGGAGGGATAAATTCATGTTTTTTGAATTATTGTATTTTTGTTTCATTGTTAAGTGCTGAGTATAAAGCTAACATGTGAAAGACTGAATTTATCTGGTCTTAATTCTTTTCTGTCACAACCCAATTATCAAACAATGGCTGTTGATTTGAAGACTAATGAAACCAAGCTCCTCGCCGCGTGGAAAGATGTCACTGACGATAAAAGTGAAACAGACTGGTAAATGTATTTTTTGTTTACTGTGTTTGCATTTTTGTACTTCTCAAACATTCACTGTCATCGCGGTATTCAAGCTGATGTATAAATTAGTCATTTAGTTTGAGCAGCTAACATTTTTACCTTGTTCCCTAAATCGGACACCGGTGAAAACAGGGAGCCGAAGGGCATATTAGTCACGTGACATTTGGAACTTTTCCCCCTTTGTCGGCCTTCTACATGCTAAACGTCACGTGTGAATTTCACGAACCTTGATCAAATAGCCCCAGGCGCCCTGTTTTCACTGTTGTCCCCTAAATCCATTTTGTGGTAGTGGCATAATTGTGACAGGATAATGAGCATGTGACATCTGAATTTTAACCATGTTCACATTTTACAGCTATTTTTATTCACAGGGCATTATATGGCTATGATGGGAACACCAACACTTTGAAGGTGGTTTCATCTGGAGATGGTGGGCTCACAGAATTGAGTGAAGACCTGAACAGCAACAAAATAATGTATGCTTTCTGCAGACTGCTTGATCCGAAGACTAGCCTACCAAAATATGTGCTGATCAACTGGGTAGGTTGAAGATATTTACTTTTTATGTTTGTTATGAAGACAAAAAGTTAAAACACTTCATTTTTATCATAGACAAATTATGCACTTGTAACTGCAATTAGTAACAAATATACTACTAGTATATGCATTATGCATACCAAAAAGATTATTTGAGCAATATACAAGCCTTTAGCTCCCTCTTAGAACTGCAGGAATTCACAAAATAAAAACATGAGACACAGTACACATGAAGTACCCAATTCTTGACCCAATTACCAGAGATCAATTACCAGAGTACCTAAGTGATTGTATAAAGCTAATTGTGTGGACAACTTTCTAGGTTGATATTTGCTTTGTGGAAATATGGTATGGTTTTTATTCAATTTTAAGCCCAGGTAGCAAACAGATTTTCAACTGTGTGCCATTATAAATATTATATTGATGCTTTGTAGTGTAGGTATCTGACTAGGAAGGTAGTAGTACTGGTAGTATTGACAGTAGGTAGTGCTAGTATTGATGCCCTTTATTTTATATTTGTGGTCCACTCTGCCTCAACAGATTGAGATGTCCAACTTATTACCAATTCGATCTACAAATAAAATAAAGCAGTCAGCACGGTGACACAGTCGAGCAGATTGGTAATTCCAAAACAAATTTTTGTCGGCATCCGGACAAATCCTCTTATGGCATTTCTTCGTAGTGCATTCATTCGTCCGCAAATCTTCGCCGGCGCATTTATTCGTGTCGCATTACTTCGTGAACGCAAATAGTCGTAGCGCGTTTCTTTGTAACCTCATTTCTTCGTCGGCGTATTTCTTCGTCTCAGATAGACAAATATTGCAGTTATGAATAAATGTAGTGCACGGTGGGGGTGGGTGGGGGCGAATAAATGGGAATGGGGCTTGGCCTGGTATTGCACACAGCCCTCTGTTCCTATAGGCCATCGATAACTGATCCCCTGTATTGCCGGGCCATCCCACAGCAAGGCGAGGGCGCTCCGATGAGCCGGAAGGGCTCGTGCACGAACCACATGCGGGACGTGGCGGCGCTGCTGCACGGCCACCACCTGACGGTGCACGCGCGAGACGAGGACGAGGTCGACGAGCAGGCCATCCTGGAGAAACTGGTGCGCGCCGGCTCGTCGGCCTACAACTTCAAGCAGCGCTCCACAGAGACCAGCCCCCAGAGCAAGCCGGTGGTGAGTGCTGATGCTGAGGGGGGATGCTGCACTTATCTGGGCTTTGACCCAGGGGCGATCATTTCTTCTGTGGTCAACTTGGGAGGTTTTCGTAGGAACTGAAGTGGAGTAAAGCTTGAAATCAACCAGTACCCAATTTATATAGCTTCCTATGAAATAATATATTAGGGATTGAAACTGGGTAGGTTTTTTGTCATTTGTTGGTCTTAGTGAATTACATTTAAGCTATTAAAACGTCATTTTGCTAAGTGTTGAACCAGCGCGTCTTTCGTTACTATCAAGTGACGTGTTTTTTTTGTGGCAGGGCACCAACTACCACCGCATCGTTCCGACGGCGGAGATCAACCTGTCTGAGCGGGACAAGTTCTGGGAGCGTCAGGAGCAGGAGGAGAAACAGCGCCAGCAGGAGGAGCTCACACGGGTCGCCGAGGAGAAGGCGCGACTCGAGACAGAGAGGAACAGAAGAGAGGTGAGGGGAGGGGAGCGGAGAGGTTCTGGGGCGGATGAGCGAGGGAAGGGGGGGATGATGAAGGATGGGGATAGGCGAGGGAGGAGAAAAGATGCAGAAAGTGGTGGCAGAAAGATAAGGAATGGGGGAAGGACTGACGTGAGCTGTGAGGATGAAATGGTAGATGGTAGGCTAAATAAAGGTGTGCAGGATTGAAAGCCTGAAAACTGGAGAGATTAGAATAAATGCGTAGACAGTAAGTTACAGAAAAGGCAAGTGTAAGTGCACAAAAAGTTAAGTGTGGTATTACAAAGTTCGTGCATTTTTTATAGATAAACTGTGCCACGCATAGAAATAGTGCTTTTGTACCCGGCCCAACTCTTAACATCAGGCATGAAATAATGAATGGGCTGTCATGTGCCACCTTTTTGCAGTTTGACTTGAAGTGTTTCGTTACTATTCATATCATGGTTGATGACGATCTGAGGGCTTGTCGATGGTGCAATGTATTTGACGTCGACATTCCACAGTGACTGATTCTGAACACTGAAGCGTGCATTACTTTCTTATCTCGTCATACAGTGTGTGCCGGAACTGTGATAGCGGCATCGCTATCTTTATTACACACGGCATGTTTCTGAGGTCGTTTGTTGCCGCTGCGCGCTGCCTTTTTCACTGTGTATCTCACGCCATGTCGCTCTGATAGGAACCTGTTTCCGCAGGCTCTGATAGGGATCCGTTTCCGCGCTGATAATGGCCTGTTTCCGCCCCGGTAGGGTCCTGTTTCCGTCCCGATAGGGACCTGTTTCCGTCATGATAGGAACCTGTTTCTGACGCGGCGAGTTCTTACGCAGCTGGCCGACGCCAAAAGTCGAGCCAACCAGGAGCGGGAGCGGTCCAGGAACATCGCGGAGGTCCGGCAGGCTGAGCAGAAGGCGGAGCGGGCGGCGCCCAAACCGGCCGCCGCTTCCGCCGCCAGGAGCGCCGACAGCGCTCCAGTGGTACGTACGCTGACGCGACCGAGGGGCGGTGTGTGTGGGGGGAGCGGGAAGGGGAGGAGGAACGAGGGCAGCAGGAACCGGTCGTAGTAATTGTGTTGAAGGGGGACTAATTGACCAAATCATCATCGATAGTATTCATCAAAGCAATGTTCACTGATCTTTTGTCGGCTTTATGTATTGTTCCTATTACGATTGGGGCAATAATCTTGCTGAGTGTTTATGGGCTGACGCTGACCGGTTTCTGGTCGTGGCAGGGCACCAACTACCACCGCATCGTTCCGACGGCGGAGATCAACCTGTCTGAGCGGGACAAGTTCTGGGAGCGTCAGGAGCAGGAGGAGAAACAGCGCCAGCAGGAGGAGCTCACACGGGTCGCCGAGGAGAAGGCGCGACTCGAGACAGAGAGGAACAGGAGAGAGGTGAGGAAAGAAGAGAGATGGAAAAAGGGACGAGAATTGAGGCGAGTAAGGACGGAGGGCCATAATAGCATTGTTTGAAGGGTAAGGGAGACACAAAACATATTCTGGCTAAGCGCCACTGACCGTAGTAGTCTGCGTGCCATTTGAACTCTGACAGATCACGTCCCTGCCGCCGCTCATTCCCGGTCGTCGCCGCCGCGCAGGTGGAGGCGGCCAAGCTGCGAGAGCGACACGAGCTGGAGCGCAGCCGCACTATTAACGAGGCGCGCCAGGCCGAGCGCAAGGCCGATCGGGTGCTCTCCCAGGACGGCGAGCAGACGGCGCGCTGGCAGCAGAGTCTGGCTGAGGACCAGCGTGCTGAGGAGGAGCGGCGCCACCGCGCCGACCGGCTGCGGGCCGAGCGGAAACAGGTGCGGCACAGAGAGTCTCAGAGGGGTCTGAGGGGTCCTAGTGATAGTAGTTAGGATAGGGGCTTCGCCACCGCGCCGACCGGCTGCGGGCCGAGCGGAAACAGGTGCGGCACACTAGGGTCCCAGTCCAGGAGGAGGAATAGTTAGATAATGCAGCTGTAATAGTTCCTTGCATAATAGGTTAGGGCTGGACAGGTGGCTCTTATACATACCGTTAGCCCTGTTCGTGAGTTGGTCCGGCTGTCGTCCCGGGTGCAGCGTGGAGCACCCCGGGTACCGCCGTGGCCGACGTCCCTTCCGTCTGTTGCCCTCAGGAGGCGGAGAAGCTGATCGGCCACCGGACCGGCGAGGCGCGCGCCGTGTTCGCGCGCGGTACCGCCTCTGGCCAGCTCAGCTCGGGCCCCGCCAGCCCGGTGGGCCGGCCGGGCGGCGTGGCGAGACGCTGGCCGCCGGCAGCTGCACAACGTGAGTCAGCGCCCCAGCTGCCACGCGCCGCCACGCCGTGGCCGCTGCGCTGCGGCTGGGCGGAGGATCTAACTGCCGTGCTTTCGCTCTGATATATTTTTTCTTTCACGTGCTTTTTTGTTTTTTGGCGTAACAAAATATAATTATTAAGTGCAATTATAAAATACGCTTATATAAGCTTTGATTCTACTCGACAGATTGAAGCACTCGCTCTCTCCCATTCAAAAGAAGCCATGTTTTGATTTTATTACTTCGCCGTGTCAGACTTTAAACATTTTCTTAGGCAACTCATTTTCGTCTAACTCGCTCAGTGTTCCTCGGTTCGAGTTGGCACTCCTCCACTGCCAAATAAACAATATCCTGTCGAACCGTTGCCAGTTTTCCAATGCACAGCCGCTGCAGTCATGCTCTGAGAATGCCGGCTATTGTTTGTTTTCGTGGAATGTCGCGGGCGCTGTCGTGACTCAACCCGTTCGATGGATGTTTATTTGCGGCTCCTGTCGTGCTGAGCGGAGGCGAAGCTTGCTTTCCCTTCCCAGTCGAGCGTCCAGCGATAACATTGGTGTTGGCCGGTCTGGGGTCTGTCGAATGAATGGTGAGTGGGAGGGTTACCCCGGCCACCGCGTCTCACCTGTGTCCCCCGGGGTCGGCTCTGTCGGCAGATTCCACGGGTCAGCAGGAGCCGGCGGCGGCGGCCCGACCGGCGGGGCGGCTGAACGGATCGGCAGTGCCCGCAGGCGGCGCTCCGAACGGCCACAGAGACCCCGCTCCAGCCGCCCGGGAATCGGCCCCGGCGCCGACACCGGCTGCCGCTCCCAAGGAGCCGGCTCCCACGGCCACCTTCACCCAGCGGGAGCCGTCGCCCCCTCCGGTTCCTGCCCACGCACCTAAGGAGCCATCCCCGTCCCCCGGCCCGGTCAGCGCACAGCGGGAGCCGTCCCCTCCCCCCGTACCGGCTCACGCACAGGAGCCAGCCCCGGCGCCGGAGCCGGCCTCTGCCAGACAGCCGGAGCCGGCTCCCGCGGCGGCCTACAGTCAGCCGGAGCCGGCTCCCGCGGCGGCCTACACCCAGCCGGAGCCGGCTGCCGCCCCGGCGGCGGCCTACACAGCTCCGGAGCCGGCTGCCGCTGCAGCGTACACCCAGCCGGAGCCGGAGCCGGAGCGGGGCCACGCGGACGGCGCCGGCCCGGCGGTGATCACTGGCGAGGTGCAGATCACCACGGTGACCGGCGAGCTGGCCTCGGTCTCGATCGCGCCCGAGCACGGCCTGTGCGCCCAGGCGCTTTACGACTACCAGGCCGGTGAGTGCTGCGCCCCCAGTGCCACTTCGGGAGGGAGAACCGCGGGCTGCATCCGGGGGATGTGATCCGAGTGGTGCGGCCTAGGGGAGCGAGGCTAGTGGTCCGTCCGTTGGGACTATCGTCGTCTTGTCAGACTCTTGGTTTCAGATAGACACATCTGAGTCTCAACTTAAATTCAAGTTCTTTTGTAACTCACCGCTGGGTACCACTTTGCAGCAGCAGCTAGGGTTGGAAGACTTTTACTAACGTTGTCATTGCTGGCATTGGTTATGGCTCATCGCAATTACTTTAGTTGTCATTCACACTTTGTGCCGAATCTGAATGCCCGCGTCATCACCAGTTCTGACTGAGCGATGCTTGCTACGGAGGTCGAGTTTCTCGAGTTTATGCTGTGTAGCGCTGTGTTTGCCTGGCGTTCTGTGAAGTCTGTCGCTGAACCTGACCGCCAGTCTGCCCGGCAGTGGACGACACGGAGATCACGTTCGATCCGGGAGACATCATCACAAACATCGAGCAGATCGACGAGGGCTGGTGGCAGGGCGTGTCGCCGGCCGGCCAGTTCGGCCTCTTCCCGGCCAACTACGTGCAGCTCATCAACGCCTGACAGACCAGCAGCTGAGTGCCGACTGGGCGCGCCGCCGCTGCTCGCAACTCTCGACCTTAGCGCGTGCCACGTGCGCGGTACTTACGGGCCACTTCAGTACCCGCAATAGCTCTCCTAGTTTACTCGCGCGCTTGCGCACTAACCGTTACTGCTGAATCATGTGATAGAGTTTATATGTGTTTTCGGAAGCGCGCCGCGTTTCGGCTCCCCCTGCGCGCGCGAACGCCAAGCGTTCGGGGCGTCTCACCGCCTGCTGGGTGGCATGTGGATGTGGTGTTACGGGCGCCTCCGCGAGCTTGCCGCTGCATATCTGTCGTTTACGAAAAGCTTCCAGTTGTAAGTTTCCACATATTGTGAGCTGTTTCACCTATAACTCGTTGGAATAGAATGGCTGTTTCTTATAATGACCTGTTGATGGGGATAAAGTAAAAGAAACCATCAAATAAGCTAAGCGCACGCACCAGTGTTGTTCAAAGAGATACTGGCCCCATGATACTGCAGGTCGGCTTTGCAAAACCTGCTGGAATGCCTCGAAAAGTTGCAGCGCCAGCACAGAGTTGATGTTTTGTGTGTACACAACACCATCCAGCACGGCATCGGGCCAGGGCCTTCTTGTATTGGGTCTGTCGTGTACGACACCGCGCTAACAACTACTTGAAAGTCATCTCACGCCATCCGCGCCACACGGCGCCGGACCTAAAACATGTTTGTCACTTCTCACAACGCAATACACTCTTACCGAAAATCACAGAATAGCGTGTCAAACGCGACAGGGGAGCTGGCGGCAGCTGCCTCAGTGCTAGGCGGCGTCCGTCGTCATTCCGATCCCTGCACTTTCTGGGCGCACACCGGACCATACACTCGCCAGTCTTCAGAACAAACCAAAACGTCACAAGGGCCGCAGCCCCCAGTGTCACACTGCGCAGATCTCACACCATTTGTAACACAACACCGTAACGTAGACGTGCCTTCCTGAACGCGGGCCGACGCCTCCAGCCACAAACCCATTTCGCCTCCACAGAGTGAGGGGCGCGGCTCACTCGAATAACAGCAGCGGTCCGTCTCAGAGTCCTGGTGACCTGACCGGAGGTTACACATCACTGTCACGTGACCGCGGGTCACCGCTGCGCGCAGGCCGGCTGGGCCGGGAGGGAGGACGGCGGGCCCTCGGGAGCCGCGGGTCAGACTTCCGAGGGCGTCCGGGGCAGCGCCTCGGCGCGGGAGGCCTTCTGGAGCGCCGCCACCCACCTGCGGGAGGGGGAGGGGGATCAGTGAGCGGCCCGCCAGTGTGTGTGTGTGGTCCAAAAAGGCTGCCACTGCACTGCGATGAATAGACCAATGAATGAATGCTCTAATTCACCTTCAATATATGTCAAAATATCTCAAGTCAAGCAATTAATGAATGCCAACCAATGAAAGCCCTATGAACGGATAACGAAATGAATTTTCTGCAATGGCTTTAATAGTTGAGCTGACCGCCCCAGCCAGCTGTGTGACGGCTCGGCTGGGCAGTGGGCACCCACCTGGCCACGTCCTCCTTGCTCTCGCCGAGGAATACGTAGCTCTTGCGTGCGTGGCTGAGCTTGAAGGTGCGCTCGCGGTCCTTGTCGACCACGGCCTGTTCGGGTTTGCCGCCGGCGCCGCTCCAGGTGACGCAGAAGCCCGGCACCGGGGTGGCCGTCAGCGCCCGGTCCGACTCGCCGCTCGGGTACGAGTAGAGCACGAAGTCGGCGCGCAGGCAGAACCAGCGCCGCCACCAGGCCTTGCGGCCGCGCAGCAGCAGGAAGCCGCTCAGCAGGCTGTCGGCGCTGGCCGGCACCTGGGAGCGCGGGACGGCGCCGAGTCAGACGGGTCCGAGATGGCGGGACTGGGAGAGATGGTGTTGTGATGCACCGAGTCGAGAACAGTAGTGAATATCGTCATATTTGATTGGAATGAACACACTGTGAAGAGGCCTGGTTCGTTATCAACGGCCACAAGTTTAACAGTATCAGGCCGGCTTACAATCCATTGCTACCACATCGAGAGAACTCCTATTGCAATAACAGCCCAGAGTCGCAGCGCACCACTCACGTCGAGCACGCCCTTTCCGCGGGTGTAGGTGACGTCGAGCACACTGGCGCGCCGGTCGGCCACCTTGGGCGAGGCAGTGCCGCCGTCGCCGGACGCACGCTCCGTCAGGATGCCGTGGCACCGGTTACAGACGCGCGCCGGCTTGTTCTGTTCGCACGCCAGCGGCACTTTGTTGGGCGAGCACTTGCTGCAGACCACCTGTTGGAGAGGTCAGAGGGTTCAGTGGAGTGGTCAGGGAAACGGCCACGGACTGTGGTGGTAGGTGGCGCTGGTAGGCAATGTCAGACCGCGAGTCTGGTGCTGGCGTTAGGGGATAATGAATGAAGTTATGGGAGTTCGAAGCGGGTCTTCAATATATGATATGACGGCTCCGGATTATAAAGACATTTCGCCAAACAGCTAAGCCGTGATGCCCAAGCTGTGAGTTGCTAGCACACCCAGCCTCCTGAAGTGCCTAGCACCACCTCGGTTCCCCGCGTCCCGGACTCACAATGCCGCAGGCGTGGCAGCCGTGCTTGCGGCGCATCATGCCGAACTGGCTCTCGCAGTCCATGCAGCGCGAGACGCCCTCCTGACGCAGCATCACGGGCGCCTTGCGGCCCAGCTCCTCGAAGCCCTGTGGCTCGGCTTTGAGCGAGGCGCGCCGCTGATAGAAGCTGGTCACTACCGAGCAGAGCGCCTCCAGCCACTCGGCCTTCTCGTCTGCCGTCCTGCGCGAGGGAGGGGAGAGGTCAGCGCGGCGGTGACAGTGGGCAGTAGGCGGCCAGTCTGGACCGGTACCACGGCGGCTGGCCTGCTGCTGTTGCCACCGAGATGGTTAGGGTCATGTGTGACAACTGACACATTCGAGCCTGCCGCAATACGAGTCGCCTTAAATCCACCACGACTGACGCAGCATATTGATGTCACAGGAAAGACATTCACTGACAAAGCTCCCGACAGCTGAAAAATCGGGCATTTGGCTGCTGGACAGACGTCATTCGTCATCAGGGGACAGCTCGCGGGCGTGAGGCGAAGACCGATCGCTGGGTAAACACCGTTCACGACGGTTCGACACGGCTCCATCCATCGGGGAGCGATGACTCGACGGGCCGGTGCGCCCTGAGCCGCGCCCCTGCGGAGCGGCGGCCCGGCCTGGCGGCGCTCTCCGACAGGAGCTAGCCCGAGTCCCTGGGCGTGGGACGGGCGTGGGATGATGGAACGTGTGTGACGCGTGTCGCGCCCCGTCGGGTGATCAGTTATGTGGAGGGATTCTATGTCTCGTGCAGATGAATTCACGTGTTTGACAGACATCACACATGGATAGCCCAGTTCACGCACTCCGGCCAGGGAACCGTTATGGTGCGTGTCCTGTATTCATTTCACGGACGTGACCCCTTTGAATTCGGTTTCACAGTGCGTGCAGGCCTGCCAACGTGACTGAGCGCAGCGTACTCGACTCTAATAGAAACGTAAAGAACCATGCTTTGGTTCAGGTGGTAGGGGAAGTTATGGTTCCGCAATTAATGGATCACATGTGCAAGGGCCTGGAATTATTTGAAATGTTTTCGTGTCGACAATATTTTTCGAGGTTGAACCGTTCATCTGGTGATTATCTACAAACGTGCGGCTTATCCAGCTCATGAAGCCTGCTTTACGTGTTCTACAATTTCTACAATGAACAATTTCTAGCTCATGGATTTTTGTTCTGCAGAATAAAAAGGCGATAATAAGGGAGCTGACCGGCCGCGCTCGCCAGCTGGAGTCGATCAGTGGCCCGTTCCGGAGGCGGTGCCACTATCGGGGGCCGTCAGCACCTGTCCCCGCCTCTCACATCATCGGCGGCATGACGCCACAGTCCCACTGTCCCCTCATCCCCTCCCCCCCCCCCCCGCGGGTGACGACTAGCGGTTGACAGCCGGTGATAACGGGTGACAGCCGGCCACACCCTGGTTAAGGCCGCCCCACACTGGACCCCGCATGCGGGTTGCGAGTTTTTGGGTTTTGCGGTTTCTTCAAAATCAGATAATACAATCTAGGCTGAGTGACCCACACTACCATCTAACAAGCGAGTCTGCATGTTTTTTGCTTGCGAGCGAACTTGCATCGCGTTCCAAAAGTTAGTTTTGAGTCAACTTTCGAATTTCCTCGCTGCGAGGTCTGCGAGTTCTGCGAGGTTTGCGGGTTTTTCCTTGGAGTCGAATTTGGGTTCGTAGCGCTGGTATTGCGACTATATGTAAGTTTTTGAAGGTGCACCGGCTTCACTGCATTCATGAAGTTACCATAAGGGAACGGTCTAATCACTTTATGAATTAGTATTATGCCTGCAAACTCAAAACCCGCAAACTCGCAACCCGCATGCGAGTTCGAGTGTGGGGCGTTAGACGCGCGGCTACATAGGATAAAACGGGCAGCTGCTGCGGCACCTCACAGGACGGACGCCCACCGCAATGGTCACTGGTCAGGCCGGGTCAGGCTTCGAGTCAGCCGGGAACGTTTTGTTCATCCATTGTAGCGTTCCTGTGATATTCCGCCCTAGCCCACCCACTCCCTCCGTTTACGTGTCAGTGTGTGGATGGTACGGCGCGGCAGAGCTGATCGACACCAATTTCGCCCCCAGGCACACCGACAGGCGTATTGTCCATGCCAGGGGCCACTGGCGACACGCCCATTCTGTAGAACAGTGTGACTGAGAGCTGGTAAAACACGTCCCTGATGAACAGAGAGAGCGTGTAATCGGAACGGCGTTATGGGACTGGAAGTATGATAGGTACAGCAAATAACTGTCACCAGACTCTGCGTTGGCTCTCTCGGACATCATGACTGGACTGGACTCATTCCCAGCCTCTCCAGTGTGTCAGATATGTGCACATTGTGCAGCGCGGCGGCACGGTCGGCAAAAACGGACTGCGGGCGGTCCGCGGTCCGCGGTCCGTGGCGGGGAGGAGGGTGAGAGAGCGTCTGAAGGCGAGAGGAGGGTGGTGGGGAACGAGCCCGCGACGAGGGGAGAGGGTGGGAGGCCAGAGGGAGGCACGTGACCGGACTGGGAAGGAGGGGTGGACGGGGTGCTGGGGACAGGGGAGGGAGAAAAGCGAACGGAACGAGTAGACGGAGAGGGTGCCGGTGAGGACTGAGGGACTTTGTGGAACCCTCGGACATTACCGTTCAGCCTATGCTAAAACCAAGTAGTTCCGACACCGTACCTACTATCTGCCTTGACGTTACGGGCAATGAGGCATATTCACACCGCCAATGGAGAGGGTCTGGTGAACGGAGACCGCGACCACTCACTGTATGTACAGCTCGACGTTACAGGCACTGATTGGCTGGTACCAATGGAGAGGGTCTGGTG